AAAAATTCCGCTCCGCCGCCTCTTTACAACAGTGTTTATACGCGGAACTTGATATTGCTTTTTACAATTTGGGTTGCCTTTGAATCACATATTTTAGTGAAATATTGTTTATAGAGTGAAATATTATTGTCATACATAATTCAATCTTTGAAACAACAGAAACTAACACATAATAACGATAATCAAATTTGTGTTTGAAGTTCGAAAGTAGTTGCGTTATTTCCGGTTTCAACTAGTTCGAAAATAGAACGTCATTGAGCGCAATAAAATCACGCATAGAACTCCATCCGAACCAGCGTAAACTTATTGCAATTTGTGCGATTTGGGCCCAGTTTGTTCTTACAAGCTTTCTAAGTTTCATTTATCATTATTTAGTAAACAGGTCTCTGAAACGATTTAATATATCCGTAAAATACGTGGCAATCGACAATTGACTTCGAAACGTTCGAAATTTCGAACAAACTCCCGGCACACCTAGCGCGATATGCGTCAGATCGGTGTGGAAGACGCCGAACTGCAGCGTCAAAGCTGAAGACTGGGTTCAAATTCGAACGTCAGAGGGAGTGTTTGAATACACACTCCATGAGATCCATGTGATTATGATGTCGGTCATTGGCTTTCGGACTATATTCATGAGTTGATAGTTATGCAGTCTTTGAGTATAGAGTCCCCTGTCACATTTTCAATATGCAAATTTTATAGGAAAAGTAGCAACTAATTAAAAAACTTCTACGTACGTTTCCGGTACATGTGTAGTGAATTCACGTTTGGCAAATTTCTAGAGCTTTTATAGCGTGTTCAAGTTTAAAGGAAACATCAATCCAAACAACATAATGACCTCTAACGAAAAAAGCTCAGCAAATATAGGAGAATGCAATTTACAGTTTTTTTTATATCACTTTCATTCTCTAGATATTCAACTTTTCATCAGTATTATGTAGTCAGCCATCTTGATTCTCAAGCAAAGGATTATGGGTAAAGTATAGCATCATAGAATCTGTTGTCAGAAATTGAGAAAATGATTTCATCTATAACTTCAAAAGTTGAACTTCAAATTGGCTGAAAGTTTAAAAATTGATAGCATATATGTTCTGGTGCCATCCATATTTATAAAATAGTTGTCATGGAAACAGAACTGAAAATATTTATTTTTATGTTTTTCTACCAAATGCTCAAATTTCCTCATATTGTATAAAATTTACCAATGTGAGTAGGTTATATAGGTGATATATTACATGTTGACCACAAAAAGGGGACAACGAAAATGTCATTCTATATTTCACGACTAAAATATCGATTTTCATTTTTTTAACGTTTTTTAGCAATATCTTCACTTATGTGTATTTGTAATATTCTAATTTCCATTACTATAATTATATACACGAGTAATATGCACAACAAAAATTTGAACTAATTCGCATCAGTATTTCTCATGTTATAGATGAAATAATTTCCTCAATTTCTGACAACAGATTCTATAATGTCATACTTTACCCATAATCCTTTGCTTGAGAATCAAGATGGCTGACTACATAATACTGATATATAGTTGAATATCTAGAGAATGAAAAGTGATATAAAAAAACTGTAAATTAAATTCTCCTACATTTGTGGAGCTTTTTCTTTAGGGGTGATTATGTTGTTTGCATTGATGTTTCCTTTAATGAAAAGGAGCATATTGTCTTTTTCCCCAGAACGAAATGCATTCAAGGCTTTTGACAGAACTCATTTACATTTGCAAATGTTAATTCAAATAAAGCACCTCATATGCGGACTTTTATTGGATATAACGCCATCCCGTTATAAAGTACTGGTATCGCTTTGTCGCAGGCCTGGGTGGGATGAGGCTTTATATCCCCAAAGAGTCCGCGTACGAAATGCTTTACATATTATATGATAATACACACCTGGAGACAAACGATCAATGTTTCCATACTTGTTTTCAGCTTGCGATATGTTGAAAGTGCGTCGAGTTACATCTAATTCTTCCATAAGTTGCCGATTTGCTTGACTAAGTAGTTCATTATCTCTTTTTTCTTTTTTCAAAGCTTTTCGCCATAGTCTATTTTTCGCTTTCATGGAGGACACTTCTTTTCGCAATTGTTTTTCTCCTCTGTGCGAAGACCTCCTCAGCACTTTCATCTTTATATCCTGATCCGCAATGCGCGAGTCCAGGGTATGTCTATCTTGTTCTAATTTCAATACTCTCTCTTTAAGGCTTTTGCTTATTTCCACAAGTTCTGTAACTATGGTTACCAGTTCATTATTCTGGTTAATTGTCTCTTGGAGTGGAAACGTGAACTCAACTGGAACTGAGTCTGGATGTTCAGAATGTTCAGAAAATGTAGCATTGCCAAGAATGCCTGGTAAACTTGAACACGTCACTATGACAACAAACGCAAACAATCGTATATGCGCCATTTTCAGGAAAGAAGACAGTAACTAAAACAAGAAAATAGAGTAAAGAAATATATATGATTGTTATTGTGCCAAATATAATATAAATATCACATTTTGATCTAGAATAAAAAACAAATGTGAAGATTCGAATGACTCTTGTAATTGTGTTACGTAATCATTCATTTGAAGGATTTGTAGTGATTAGTCGAATTGGTTTATTACGGTGCCGTCGGCCCGGGTATATCCGCCACGCTAGTTAACCATTCAGTAACCATCCTTACTACTCGATTCGCCATCTTTTTACATTTAGAATTGTATTTTTTTAATACATATCCGTAAGTTTGTGAGATCACATGACACCAATATAGACGTGACCAGCATTGCTTCCGGCCTGCTTGAAAAACCCACGCTCACTGACTTTAAAATGTCAAGACATTAGTGATTATGTGTGAAAACACTAAAAATAACTTTATGCTACTGTCCTCTGGCTGGCGCTAAGTGCCTCCGGATCTTATCATTTTTGTTATCTTATTAATTTTTGTTTTGCAAATAATTATTGTCTTACGCAAATTCATCGAACAAATGTTGCTGTAAATATTTTGTATTGAAGGAGTATGACCTGCGTTTCTCTCATTGTTTATATATTTTGTAATCCATTCAGGTAAAACGCGCGATTCAATCAGCCCACGTATTCGCGCCCTCTAGTGACGAAACTTTCCTGTGACGTCAAAATGGCGTGTATCACAATGAGTGAAAGCAATGTCGTTCAAATAGACAACTATGCTTAAAGGGCGGCAGTCGTCGTGCCGCGTCCTGTTCGATATGGGGCTCATAGCGACGTATACAACGCGTGTAAAATACGTTGTTTATTTACATGAAATTCGAACACGCGCTGCGCGACGACCACCGCGCTTTAAATGCACAGCTGTGAAACATCTCACATCAACATTGTGAATCTACATAGCACTTAGACTTTCACGCTTGGTAGAACCGTGTAGCTTAAACTAAACTGAGCTTTGCAGTGTACTAGGTGTTATGATGTTATACCATTTTTTCACGCAGGGTAACACTGGAGGGTCGTTACACTGGTTCCTGGCGTTCCTTGCGAATGGCAAGTAGGGCATAGATAACTAGTAATTGTCATATTGTTCCACTGGACCTGGATTCTGTCCCGAAGTCACGTGACTAAGTGGCGTAATTTCAAAATATTCGAATTTTCATTCTCAGTAAACAAGTCTGCCCCATTCAGTTTGCTTGCTTAAAGCGGGGGTGTCGTCACCTGCGCATGCGTCAGATGAACATAGCGTGTCATTGTTTACAAACAAGCGCCCACCTATGAGCCTTTGCGTTTTTAGCGTGTGTTGTTATCGTCGCTTGGGACACTGTTGGGACTCAATTCACGCGCGTTTAAACTTGGGGTTGTTAATGATCGGTAAACTGATTATTGGAATAGGTGTTATGATGCTATACAGTGCATCTGGCAAGTTACCCCAGTTACTCGATCACTATGCCATCACATACAAAAGTCAAGAATTCGCTACACTGACCCCGATCAGTATGCATCTGTGCGTGATTTCGGGGCGGAGCTACGTCACAAGATGTTCCACGTTGCCAAGACGCGCACCACTGTACCATGCATTTCTATGGGCTCTGTGCGCGCTGCTGTGGAACGCCCGTCGAGGAGCCGGTAAAAATAGCTAATTCGAGAAAACAACACAAACTCAACTTTGAAGTAATCCTGAACAACCGAATTTTTATATGTTACACTGTTCGGGGGAGCCTCAACAACCATCCCAAAGTACCGTTTTCTGAAAGTTTTTGGCCGTGATGGTTGTCAAGCGTTGAAAATACCCGGATCTTCGTTTAAAATGCGGTGGTCGTCGTGCCGCGTCCTGTTCGATATGGGGCTCATAGCGACGCACATATCGCATGTAAAATACTTTGTCTGTTTACATAAAATTCGAACACGCGCTACGCGACGACCACCGCCCTTTAATGTTATAGCACTATATATGATGACTTGCCAACATACTTCACATGTCAATAATGTCCATATAACTGATTACTATAATCATAAAAATCTAATTAGATCATATATTTCCAGTTAAAGCAGCAGTGGATTTGGCAGTTACAATGCTGGTTGCTAGGCACCAACGTACTCTAGTTCTAGGTTTAGACACCAATTAGGTCTGAATGTCAATATCTCAGGTGGTTGCCTTGGAAACGCAATTTATATCGTTAATTAGCTATTATAATTGTATTGCTTATGTTATTGTAATATGACATTATTAATTATACTACTAGTATACAATTTACATAACGCGATACATATTAATAAGATGGCGTGAAATAGGCTTTCTGAAAAATGGTATGTATTAATAAGACTGACGGAAACAGAAAGCATAACTTATTATTGCCAATGTTTATACGGACATGCAGTCAGAGCAGATTGCCAAACGCGTCGCGTCTGAGCCAGATCTACTTTACAATGGGTTCACCTATTGTACAGTCCTCGAGGTTTAACTCCAATATATTTGGACAGTGTTACGTTGGAGGAAAGATCATAACTTAGTTAAGCCTCGCGCGGATTTAGGGAGAGGCCCGCAAAAACAAATTGACAAATCATTTGACAAACCCAGCCCACCGGAGGTGTTTGACCCATTTATACAACTATACTAATCTTACGCACACGGAAGTGTTTTCGAGAGAGGAATTAGCATAATTATTTCAATGGTAAACAATATAAGATAATATATATAAATAATATATATTGGTCATACATATCGTGACTGTTATAGTTTTACCAATAGCATCACGGACATTACAAATAGTAAATGAACTTTGCTCAACAGCGTTATTAGGGTTGCCATGTAAGGCGTGTTTGACAGGGTTCCATGCGACGCATACTACGCGTCAACATTGTATTTTTACGTAGAATTCAAACGTGCTTGCTTATGCCGAGAATGCGATTTCAATGGAAACAATTCTAACTCGAATTTCGTTTACCCAGCCGAACTATAAACAAATTGGTAGAATATGACAAATTTCGACAAATCAAGAACAAAATGGTCCGGATAATGTTATTATCATGATTTTGTGAATATAGCTTCACATCAACGGGTATGAACTACGTTGTTTGTATAATTTGTTTTTCGTATGACTAATTCATTTGATACTGGACTCAAATTAGTTTTGTAGTACCAAATGAATAAACACATAGCAACATGTCACATGACGAATATCATTTAGGATAATATCATGTAGAAATATTGGAATGATTTTTGTTTTAATTTTATAGATGTCACTTGGTTACTGTGTTTGCCTCCGGTATATTACTTGGCATCACGTAAGTTATTGTGAGTCAGTTCGGCGTGCGTTAGAAATTGTACGTTTTGTGTCTAGCAACACGATAACTATCGGGAAATGTACCACTGCGTTAAGGGGTCAATCAAACCAAACGCATTGTCTTCTGACCCGGATGACCCCACTTATAGCTGTACACGACACAGTAGAAACAGGTTTCGCATCAGACTGAGATAACGTAAGACGTCAATTAGTAAACACTTGACTTCGCGTGTCGGAGTCACGTGCCCCTATACCCGTCACCGGAGTGTTTCTGTACTAGTAGTTAGTCTAGAATCAGAAAATACTTGAAATGCGAGAAAAAAGTCTGCATAAAAACAGACCCATACGCAAGCCACTCTGAAATAAAATAAAACTGGTCCATTTCATAATTATCGAGAACAAAAATATGATCGAAAAGCCAAATTTGCTGCCCAGTAGAAATGACGGGTCGACCATAATGTCACGTGACACGCGTCTAATTGGTTTCCGCATATTCGTATTCATAAATATTATCGATGAACACACTGGGTCGAAATATATATTGAAGGAAATATTTGTTTACCAGATGATTTTTAGTCGATACATCCGGGTTACTAGCTGGTACTTTGGATCCGAGACTTTATAAGCAGTCTAACCCACGCGTCAACGACTGAGATTTCATGTGTAGCAGTCTCGCAGCACTAAAACAAATCATAACTAATAGATGATTTCCCAACCTTTCTCAGGGGTAGCAGGTATCTCCTCGGGTTAACTAAACGTGGTCGTACATGAACAACAAATAAAACGCTGCTGTGATCATCGGAGCACGTAGCTTGCACTGTCGCTAGACTGAATGATATAACCGCATATGTGGGGGTCGGTGTAAAGTCCGTATGAATGAATGAAATAAAATGCTTATCGCTTAAAACAATAAATAAGGCGTGGATGCGACAACATGGATATCGTGCTTTGATGAGCAGTGTTATGCAGACGTGTTTGCGTTGCTAAACTGCGCTCAAACATTCCAATCATGATACTCCACGTAAAATGGGCCCCTATACACACATCCCAGCCATAGTAACGATAAAAGGGGCACGCATAATTTTTATAAAAAGTATGTCAATTTTTATATTCAGTAGAAAAAAAATCACCGTTTTTTTTTTTCTCATAACATTCAGCAGTCACTGCAAATCGTAATAAAATTACTGACCATCAACTGCCATTATCTTTTATTACTCTATTTCATTATCGATCAGTATTTGATTTCCATTTAGAATTGTTTACCATAGCTTGTACATGTGTTTATAACGTAAACAACAACTATTTTATTCTTCGGAGGAATTCAGTGTCATTTCAGGTTATCTTTTTTTTTAAAAAAAAAAGGTTGCTCACAATCGTATTAAACATTTCTATTGATTGTCTGAAACAATAAAACAATGTATGACGTAGTATGTGTAAAATTTCATATGTAAATTATATTATAATGAATATAGTATCGGTAACACCTGAGCGGAGCGAAACAACTACTTAACGTAGTCATTAATAACGGTTAGTGAATGTGAAGTAATAATATTACGATTGTTTTCCCGGGTGTACGAGGCAGCCAAAGGAATGTAATAAGGTGTCGTATTTTTGCTGTGTTGATAGAATGTGTGCTATGAGGCAATGTGTGCTTATGGTTGTGTTGAAAATGATTTATGTATGTAAAATGAAACATACTATACTTGGTAATAAGAGATGGGGCTTTTTTAAAAATTTGTTTTATGGGTGAGTTCAGCTCCATCTGACGCCACTACTAACATAGACCAGACTCAGTCTGACCAGACTACCAACCCAGACCAGGCTACATCTGATCTCACTACCAATGTAGACCAGGCTCCATCTGACGCCACTACCAGCCTAAACCAGGCTCCACCTGACGCCACTACTAACATAGACCAGACTCAGTCTGACCAGACTACCAACCCAGACCAGGCTACATCTGATCTCACTACCAATGTAGACCAGGCTCCATCTGACGCCACTACCAGCCTAAACCAGGCTCCACCTGACGCCACTACTAACATAGACCAGACTCAGTCTGACCCGACTACCAGTCTAGAACAGGTTCCATCTGATCTCACTCCAACCCAGACCAGACTCCATCTGATCTCACTACCAACCTAAACCAGATTCCAATACTAACCGAAACCGGGATCCATCTGCTCCCACCCAACCTAAACCATGTCTGATCTGATCTTCAACTTACATTCTAGTAGAAGCTTAAGCGCCATTTGGTAGTTTATTGCTGAAAATAATTTAGCGGACATTTCAAATGAAGTAATATGGTCAAGGACTACTCGATGTTAATACATTATGTCTATGCTAGATTGATCGAATATACAACCGACTTTGTTAAATGTATCTACACCAGATGGAGCATGCGCACAAGTGCGCCCTCTAGCGATGAATCGCTTCCGTGACGCCAGCATGACGCGAATGACGGGAAAGCAGGATGTATTAGTCATTCTTCATTTAGAAACTACCCAATCTTCCCCAAGAACAAATTGCAATAATTAATGACTACCAAATGAAACGATTGTGATCGACGCTGTGAACTTTCTGCATCTTTCTATCATCTACACCATAAGTACTTGGATTTTAGAGGGTGCTAGAGGATTAATATGATCGGTGACTTGTCAATAAATCTGGTACGATGAACGTTGTATGGGCTGACGTGTAATGGACACACATTCAACATTATGTCTAGCATTGCTCGGTAAACTTTGTGAGACAATAACTTCATAAATTTTCCTAGCTTCTGGAACAAAGAATACCAAATCTGTTGTCTTCATTTTGAGCGCAGACAGATTGTATGTTGAAGTATCTCATGAACGTAACGTGGTGATGAATTATTCCCGGCTGTTGATATACATTATTAACTACAGAGGCGCAATGTCTAGCCGTATCCATACAATTGAAGAATTTAGTCCCGAACTCGCTTTGCACTCTAACAATGGACGCAACTATGAATTCAATAGTATGATGAAATAGGCGTACATGTCTGGTGGAAGAAGACAATGTTATCCAATTGCCATCCCTGACCAGGTTCTGTTTTTATGCCAGTGTCAAAATTGAGTGGTTTCCATGTGATTCCACTACTAAATGAGCCTAGACTTGGCTATATTTCATGATTATCTGCAACTTACATTCTAGTAACGGTTTAAAGCGTAATTTGTCTTGTTTCAGTTTATTGCTTAATATAATGGAATAAAAATGTAGTGTTTTAAAAAGTGTGTAGTTGCATCTCTGTATACCTTTTCAAACAAGATATCGCGATAATGAATTCAAATGCACGATAAAACAATCGTTAATGTCTGATGGAAGGGGCAAATAGTAAAGTAAAATCCATACTGAGTAATATGTACTAGGTTAGTATCGTATTCCGACAGGTACTCTTATGTCGCCCTGAGTTAATGTTTTGTTTCCATGAAGTCCTCGGGGTTAGCTGGTCTAGCGCATTTTGTTGGTTTGGCGTCACTCTCAGGTAGATCCAATACGTCATATGGTGTCCGACGAGGCAGATACCAGAATACATAAACAGTGTTAATAACATTCAGGATAAGTATTAATCCTAACCACTAAAAACAAAAAGACAAATATAATACTATTTGTTAAACAGCAAATGAACTGGTTGTATACTTGAATATACGAGTGAAGGGAGACTCAAGTGGATGCATAGCTCTAAAATTAATAGGAAAATAACTCGCCGGAAATGTAATGCTATACATAAAGAAAGTACCACATGGCTGATTTGAACATGCGACCGCGACAAAATATCGCCAAGTGTACGCCCCAACGTGACTTCTACTCCGTCGGCCACATAAAATCCTCATAAAACATGTAATTAATGATATAGAGATGATATGTGCATTGAATTGGTTTTACAGGATTGTATGTTCGGCAATAAGCTCGGTTGTTGAGAATATTTTAGGAGAAGGCCGGTAGCCACGTGAAAGCCACGCTGGAGCGTGTTAAAGGGTGGGAGTTGTCACCTGCGCATGCGGCAAACGCTATAATAGCGTGTCGGTGTTGACAAACAAGCGTATACCCATGAGCCTTTGCGTTTTAGCGTGTGCTATTATCGTCGAGTGGGACTCAATTCCATGCGCAGGTGACGACCCCTCCTCCTTAAAGCGCGGT